AGTTTGAAGGAACTGATATGTATTAGACAATTACACTGATACCGGGGTTGACATTCTTGATTCTGTCAATGTAATCCTGAATGCCATGCATGCCTTTCAGGAAAAGGGGCTTTAGGGACAGAGCAAAGTCCATTTAACCACAGCCGGGAGGATAAGTGGGCAGGATCTGCAAAGGCTCCTCTCAGAGGAAGTAGACACTAGGCTCCCCCATCTACACGGAGGAGACTGAGGGACAGAGAGGTTGTGTAAGTTGCTCAAGGTCACACAGCAAGGCAGAGATGGGCCCAGTTGTCAAGCCCAGGTTTGTCAGGATCCGGGGCAAATGCACTTTGCATTACTCAGAGCTCACTGCTATGCTAATAGCACCTGTTTTTATTCTCACCTACCAGTTACACTTTCTGGGGCACTGCTTCCTGAAGTTTTTCAAAACAATATTTTAAAATTATTTTTATTTTTAATTTTTAACCCTCAACTGAGAGCATGCTTATTGATTTTAGAGCGAGGGAAAGAGAAACATGGGTGTGATAGAAAACACGGATTGCCTTCCATACTTGCAGACCAGGGATGTGCCCAGACTGGGAATCAAACCTGCAACCTTTTGGTCTCAGAACAACTCCCCAACAACTGAGTCGCACCAACCAGGGCCTGAATTAAAAACAAACAAACCAAAAAGAAACCTCTAATATAATCATGATTGTAATAAGCTATAGTTTGTGAGTTCCAGTGAAAAGTGAGAAGAAATGATTAATCGGACTGTATTTCCTTCCATTTTGCTTCCAATGAGCCAGTCTGTTTACTGGTTACCTTATTTTAATCCTTGAGGTGTAGCACAGAATCAGCACAATTTTTTCAGCTTAACACCTACCATCCGTTTTAATCCTGACCACAGTCCAGGAGGCATGGACTCGTACTGTGCCAAATTGACAAGTGAGGAGACCTAGGATCCCAGATTCACTAACTTGCCTGGGAACACACTGTGAGTCAATAGGAAAACTGGAATTCTGACTCCAGAGCCAAGCCCTACCAGCAACGAGATCTCAAGTCACAAAGGTGCTGTGAGCCTCTACTTCCACATCTGTAAATTGGGACTAAATATAGGTCCTCTGCACTGAGTTGGGAGACTTGCTGCTGTAAAAAAAGATATGCTTTCTTGCTGTAGTCTCTGGGCCTGTGTGGGATTATCCAAGGACAGGTGTGTACTGTCTTTAAAATATTTGTTCCTAGAAATATTTCCTTTAGTTCCCACATTTTTAATGGGTGGCCCAAAAGTTATTGATCTCTTTCCCAAAGTTAACCTTGTCTGCATCTTAGTCTGTTAGTGCAGGTGATGAATCCCTTTGTGTCCTTTTGAGAACTACCAAGAGGCTGACTATAGACACTGTTTATCATCAGACATTGGGGAAGCGCCTAAGCGGAGGTAGCACAAAGCCAAGGAGCAAGGATGCTGGGTGATGGAGATTCTGGGGAGATGGTGGCTGCACAGCTTTTCAATTGACCAAACACCCATATAAAAAGAGAACAATTAAATAGCAAAAACCAAACATATGTGTACATCATTGACAACAAATTCACAGGACAAGTTATCCCCCAGATGCCAAAATGTAAGTGCATAGGGACAAACCACAGACCCTTTAACGTCAATAGAAAACCTTTATTAAAAGAATAAAGCCAACATTTTATTCTTCAAAGATTCATGGTATAAAAGGCAAATGAGGAAAGGGGGATCTCAACTCAGGGGCAAAGGCAGACCCTTTGGAGGGAGAAGAGGGCCTGGAACCAAGGGCCAACAGCAGGTTAAGTGCTAGGTGGGGGCGTCCTGGGAGGAGGGGGCTTTCAAACTCATGACTTGGTTGCTGGCTCACAGAACTCTTGGAAACCTCACAGGACACCCCCGAGCAGCAGCCCATCCCCCACAGTGGGTGGCTGTGGATTCCTCCTGGGTCTTATGAGGATGCCCATGGAGGGTCACAGATCAGGAGTGGTAGGGCGGGGAGGGCTGCTCTCTCTTTCAGCCTGCTCTCCTGGATAGGTGGGGCCCACAGGATCAAACTCCAGCAGCAAGGCCCGTCTCAGGCTAGCAGGGCTAGGAGTGGAGATGGGGGCCAGGCCAGGAAGATTATGGGCAGATGCAGGGGTGCTGTGGCCAGAAAAATCAGTTGGGGGAGAGGAGGTAGTAGGAGGGATCCTCAGGAAACAGCCATTGGCAAGTTAAGGGCCTACGAGTAGGTGAGGGTGAGGAGGCGCGCATACGCATTGCCCGCCAACGCGGCTGCGAAGGAGTGCGCGGGGCCTCAGGATCCCGAGAGCGTGAGCTGCTCTGGAAGGCAAGCCCTGGGGAAGGAGACCTCTGCCCAGCAGGCCCAGGGAGCGAGCGGCGGCTGGTAGTGGCTGATCTTCTCTGGGTGGGGCGGCCCCTGGGGACAAAACCTGGAGTGCTGCTGCTTCTTGGGCGGGCCTGGCCACTGAGGGCTTGGCTCCGCCTGGATGAGGGGCTTTGGGGGGCAGGGCCTGGCCGCCTGGTGTGGGTGCTATGGGCAGGGCCTGGCCCTGATGCCAGGCCCTGGGCAAAAGAGACTGGCTCACAAGCACTGCATTTGAAAGCAGAGCCTGGCCTCCAAGCGCGGCGGCTGCGAGCAGGACCTGCTGCGGATCCAGGGCTACCAGGAGCTGTACCCGGCCCAGCAGCCTGGTTAGGGACAGCAGAAGGCGGCGGCGCGGTTGCAGGGCGGCTGGATGCTGGGCCTGGCGCAGATGCAGATGCAGATGCAGGTGCAGGTGCAGACGCAGATGCACGCTGGCGGCGGCTGGGTGCGTGGCCTGGCACAGATGCAGATGGAGGTG